CCTTACTAGTAGTAACAAGAAGCTACTAGGAACAAGTGCATTGCTACATGGTGTGTGATGGACGTCGAAGGAGCTGCATGCAGTGCGCACAGTGATTGCAAATAGTGATGGCTGGGCTGGAGTTGGGCTTGTGCACAGAGTCAAGCGGAGAGTGCTGCTCCCAAGGCATCTATCCGCCTACCTCTGCGTGGCAGCTGGGGAGTCCTATTTGTGTGGCTTCGGTGGGTCTTGCAAAGCAGTTTTCAAGACTGAAGACATTCACTGGGTAAGTGACACATAGAATCTGAGAATGGACTACTGAAGGGCAACTCTTTTCTCCAGAATCTGAGTGGTCTGCAGGTTTCGATGTGTCACTTCCCCGACATTAGATGCTTGAAAAGCCCTCCAACTGTTTGGTGACAAGCCCCTTAGGGCCTTAGGGGGGTCCTACCTCTGCAGCCTCCACTGCGTGACCGGTTTGAGGGAATGCGCACAAAGGCTCAGCCCTGGGTGTTGGGTCCATGAGCACTCATGAGCATCTGGGTGGAGAGACATATATATATATATGTTGGAGTGCCTTGGGTGGGAGCTTGAGTACGCGGGCCAATGGAAGGCCCTAGCTGCTTCCTGTAGTTGCCCTTTGGAGACGTGTTCATCCTTGAGCACCTGCAAAATGTTGTTGAGGTGGTGTTGAGTAGCGGCTGGGTAGCTCTTGATCCATTTCTGGATTGCCGGTTGGGTCCAGGTTGGGGGTTTCGAATCTTGAAGTGCTTGGGAAGTGAGGTTGAGAATGGTTTCTTGGGTGAGTGAAGGGGTCGGGTGTGTGGTAGGCGCTGTGAGTGGTAGGGCTGGTGCGGATGGAGCTGAGGGTGCAGGAGCCGCACTTGTCGCGGGCACGTTGTAACTCGTCCTGTTGTTGTTGAAGTCTGTCGGTCTGTTGTTGGAGACGTCGCAATGCTGTGCCCTCGCCTGCTGGCGGGGTAAGGAATGAGATAATCGGACAGCTTTGAAATCAGTGGTGCCATAAAGGCCTTGGCATCCGTGGTCTTATTAGGGATGGGTTGACCACTCTGTTGGTGAAGGTATTTGGCAATGGAGTCGATGTCAAGGTTCCTGGTGCAGATGTCTGAGAGCAATTGTGATGTAAAGACCCCTTCAGCTATTCAGCGAGTCGCCACAATACCTGTGTAGCGTCCTTAAAAATGTGTTCTCATGCTCTGATCTGAAACTCCAATCTGTTCAACTGCCAGGGGAATATGGACAGGGTGGGTTGTCCCGCAAGATTGTGTTTGCGGGACAATGCCCTGGGTTGAATGGTTTTGAACAAGGTTTGGCCGTTGAGTGTATTGGTATCGAGGGGAGTATCGCTGTCTGTCCAAGTGGAACGGATGGTCTGGTCGGTGTGTTGGGTGGAATGCTGGAAAGTGTGGTGTGAGCTGGTGGCAATGGAACACGTGGGGGATGCAACGGTTCCGGTGGAAGAACAGGCGTAGGAGGCGGGGTGGTGGCTCCACTCTCTGTGGCTGGTGGCTGCGGTGAAGGGTACGGATGGTAGAATTAAGAGTGGTGCGGCTGTTCACGAGAAATCGAATTTGAGCAGCTGGATAAGTAATAAATGTAGAATACCAATGAGTATGTACACAAAATGTCCAGCAAACAGAGTTGGTAGAGGAATAGATGATGGAAAACAACTGCATAGGTGAATGGCACAATAAAGCAGTAAAGCAAAAAAGATCTCACACGCTTGGTCAAGTCAACTGTATACCAATAGTACAGCATCTGGAGAAGAAGTATGTACAATATGACAGTGCATGAAGTAGGATTCATAAAAGGTCCTGAATTGTATCGATCACTCCGGTCTTTTTCTGGGCGAGGAGATGTTGAGTGGTAAAGACATTAAAAATCGCTCGGCCATACTGATTCTGATGTTCCTTCACGGCGCCGATCCAGTGGCATCCCATGCCTCGGAGTGGATTGGGCGGGGTGGGACAATGCCAGTGTGGGTGTGGGTTTGGACAGTGGTTTGTTGTTGAGTGGTGTAGGATTGGGGGAGGGGTGTGAGGGTTGCTGGGCCATGGACGGGAATGTTCAAGCCGTAGAGTGGCTGAATGTCATGTGGGGTGGATCCTGACGGGAATAGGTTGATTGGGCGGAGAGGAGATGGGTGTGCATTGGCTGAGCATCCATCTGTAGCGGTCGTGTGCCAGTGGTGGAGGCACACCGCGGCCAAAGCCCTTGGGTGTCATGTCATGTGTTTGCGAAGTGGACGGGGCAGGTGTGAGTGTGGGGGTGGTAGAGGGTTGATGTCGGTGGCTGGGTGTTGGTCGGTCAGAGGTTGTGGTTGTGGTTGTGGTTGTGGTTGTGGTTGTGGTTGTGGTTG